GTTACATCGAGCAACTCGAGAAGAATATCCTCTCCACATGTCGTCGCCCGTACCTTCTTGGAAACTTTGTACTGCTACAGGATTGGGTGACACCACATGGAATCAAAGGGCGTTGGGAAAACTCTTGCCTACTTGGAATGGAAGGGCGTTGAGTACCTGAAGAAGGTGGAATATCTAAGCAGGTCACCTGACCTAAACCCTGGTTCGGGCGGAGTTCAATAGGGTGGTCTACAGTGGCGGAGAAATCAACGATCTCGCTGATCTCAGGCACCACATCGCGGTCGCGTGCAGAATCTCTCGATGGCGCTCCTCCAGAAGGCTGTGGCGGAGTATCATGATAGTATTTAATATGCTCTTTAATATGGTGGTAGAAATCCGATAAGAATTTAATAAAGTGTAACTTATAGCGCCTCGAAAGTCAAGGAAGAAAAAAGTCTTTTTTTGGCCCCTGTATATCGTGTTGTTTGCGGTCATCTCCCATTGATCAGTCAGGAAAAAGTTATGGTTTTAGTTATGGTTTTTTTAGAGTTATGGTTGTTTTTAAATTCGGACTAGTTGCTCTCCTTGAGAGACGACTCGTCCAACATGTTATGACAAGTTTTGGGAACGTAGATCGCGCCAAACGACATACAAGCGTGACCACCCACTGGTAGACAGGCAAGACAATGGTTATTGTCGCGTCGCCGCGCGATATGTTCCTGCGGCGATGCGGTAAATTCATAATATGCGCAAATTTTGATCGGAGCAGCAAATCCAATACGAAGTCATGCACAAACAAGATTCCATGACAGGCAGTACCACAATTTTCCGTTTCTTCAATACTCAGATTCAAAGAGCCAGGCAGGACAACTCGTCTGGCAGCTTGCCTGTTTTCATGGAACTGCGCGCAATGGTCCCTGGAGAGATAGAGAAAGCTATCCTCTGTCGAACGGCTTAGCGGACAGAAATGCTTATTTCTGGGGTTACAAGATTCCATAACGGGCAGTACCACAATTTTCAGTTTCTTTAATTCTCAGATTCAAAGAGCCAGGCAGGACAACTCGTCTGACATCCTGCCTATCTTCGTGAAACACGCGCGCAAAGGTCCTTGGGAAAATATCAAAAAGAGCTGTCCACGTCGAATAGCTTAGCGTTCAGAGATGCTTATTTCCAGGGTTGTGGTCGGACATTCGGTTATTCCCATTTGACTCTTCTTTGGTCATTAGCAAGCAACTCATTGTCAGCATAATTGTTTGATCGCCCTCAAAACTCAATTACTCCTTACAGTCTACCTTCGTTCAGCTGTGTTTTCGAATTTCTCCTTTGGTTTTTCAGCTGAGATTTTTTTTCTGCTCGTGAGCGCTTCTCGAAACCCCTTTTGGCGTACATTAGAGCTAGACTTTACGAGGAACTGACGCGATGAGCTCGAACAAACCTGTTGCGCTTGCACGGAGCGTGCTCTGAACGGGTTACCTGGCATCTGTCAACCGGATGCTCTCTCGCTATGAGGGTCCAGAAGTGTTTTCTCAATCTTCTGTCCGAGCATTTAGTGGAAGGACAACGGAAGAAAAGGAAGGCTCCACGGCTAGCAGATTCCTGAGGCACTGAACGCCACACGAAAAATAACATGCCCCATGGATAAAACTGTGACGCGACCGCACGTCCGCGACAGAAACTCAATTAAAGTTGTGGAACTGCTGACTTAGGCTCATTTTGCTCCTTCAAATGGGAGCTATGAGTACCTAAAAGTTAGATAAAGGTGTGAAAGTTGTAAAGAGGTGAAATGCGATTGGATTCGTAGATGGTTGTGTTGAATAACGCAGTGGCGCGTTTCCTGCTATTCCAGTGCGTTCTTGTCAAGTGTTTTCTTCTTGTGCTTCACTCGCCGATCCTTATTTCAGATTCTATGGCAATTATGGCCCATTTAAGAACTACATTTGCGTCCACACTTAGGAGATTGTGCAGTAACGCAGCAGAAAACGCTCGTATTATCGACGAAGATGGCCCGGACTTGCCACAACGTTTGCTGGATTGCTTTCTGAAGTTAGAACGATTAAATGACTGCGAGTTCAGGTCTGTGTAGCTCAGAATTTGCCAGTTATTCGTATTCATTTTGATTTATTTTTGGTTCTACATAAGTTCTGCAGGCTAACATAAGTTCTCAGTGAGACTTGACCTTTTGTCGTACAGAT